CACACACACACACACACACACACAATCAGTTGTATGTTTGTTTGTATGTTTTCCTGTTGTTGCCTGTCCTTCCCCTAATCTTTTCTAAGTGTTTTTGCTCACCCAAACTGAGCACCCTTAGGTAGTGCCAAACAGTCGGTGGTTCCTTGTTTGGAGTGCCAACTGCACTCTTAGGGGGGCCGCTAGGTTCGGGATGTCTGTGTTGCCTGTAGGTGATGACGGATACTCGTCGGAGTGTCTCCCTGGCTCAGTGGGTGGTGGGAATCAACAGTCTGTGGGGTTCAGCCGTGATGTGAGTAGGTGATGTGCTGCTTTGCTCCGTGTTGGATGTGTGGACGACCCCGTCTGTGCTCCACCACTGCCTTGCTGCCTGTTCCGCTTGCCTCGCAGGTCGTTCTTGGCATGCTGCTGTCTTCGCTATGTGGTCTGGCTGGGTTGTGGTGTTGCTTTGCCCTTCGCTGCTTCGCTGCCTTGCCACCCGTCCACTGGTCGTGCCTTCCGGGTTCTTGGTTGCTGCCCGCTGCTATATTCCACTTGGGGACAGTCTGCCTTCAACAAGGGTCAAAGGGTGCATGACCCAAACCATCAATACGGGCATTCCACAGATTGTCGAGGGTTCAGCCTCCTGATGAGTCGGTGCAATTCCGACGAAACAATCTTTCATCATCAGTTTTTATTTTATTTTATTTATTTTTTTCAGGCTCTGAATTTTTTATGGACTTCATTTTTTTCTGATTTGCCTGCCTTTTGTGCTTGTTGTTGTCTGCCGTCCTATATCTCTCGTGCCTTCCAGCCCGTGGTCTCTTTTTTTTTTTTGTCTGCCGTGTCTGTTGTTGGTGTGTTGTCTTCCCTCCCTTCTCCCCCATGCCCTCCAGCCTATGTGTTGTCTTGTTGTCTGTGGCTTGTGTGTCTCGTTGTTCTCCCTTCCTTGCCTTTGGACTCGACTCCACTCGGATGCGTATTCTCCTCCTGAAGTGTTGTGACGGTATGGTGCATGGTTTTTACTGTGCAGAGGTGTCCGCAATATGTGTTCACACACATCACACACACACACACACACACACACACACACACACACACACACACACATACACACGTGGCAGTGTATATTTCCATGTTCCAGCGGTAGATTCATTCGATTTTGCTCATCCTATCGACGGACGTACCATGAGGTCAGCCGCGAGGTTGGAGACTTACCTGTTCTCTCTCTCTCTTTCTCTCTCTCTCTCTCTCACACACACACACACACACACACGTGGTAGTGTA